TTTACTCATTCATGGTTTATAAATTTTGACAGTCATTTCAACAGTCAAATCCCTACCTGGTTTCTGAGATAATGGACTCTTCATGGAGCTATTCCAGAAATCCTCCCCCTCTCTCTTGCAGATCAAGTCAAATACTTTCACACTGTTCACAAAGTTAATAAACATAGTTCCTAATTTTCAATCCTCTTGTTATTTTGCAGTAAATACAAAGTCCCATGGATATTTAAATGGTAATATGATATCAAAGACAACATAGTCATCCGTCGCCACTATGTTAAATGGTGGGATACTTTCAAATTTGATAGGATTATTGGATATGTCAACGATGATTATCCCAAGCAATCCTCCACCTAAGTTACTTCCCAAACACAAGTCACTCTTCAAACAAAGCAAGTCATTCAACAAAAACAGTCTTCCCCTACTGTATCTACTATTTCCACCAAGTTACAAAAGCAAACTCCGAAGTCAGAACTCAAGAAGATGGCAGCCTCACTGATTGATCACATCCAAGAGCTATCTAAAGATGGAGAAGAAGTAGATGATTCCTCCTCTGCTGCTGAATCAAGTCACCCAGTAGTCAATTTGTATGACGACTCTGTGTTCCAAGACAGTCAGAATCCATACGAAGATCCATTCAATTGAAAATTGATATGGAAGAAAAAGTCACTATTTGGTAAAAGTTACTATTTGCTATAGTAAAAGTCAATAATGCTACATAACCAGTCAAAGTCACTATTTCTACAGTAATTGTCGACAAAATCACTGTTTTTACAGTACCCCGACAAGATACTATTCATCCACAGTGAAAGTTATTATTCATCTACAGTCAAAGCTGTCAAAAGCAAAAGTTACTTTTTAAAAAGCTAAGATTCGTGCTGAAGCATCCTCTAACTGTGCAGAAGCTCGATTATAAAAGTAGTGCTCAGTCTCATTACAAAGCAGGCTTCATTGGAGATTTTTGAAGCTTCATTACATTTTCTCAGTTTCAAATTGTAATATTCAATTCAGTTTTATTTTATCCTTTCTGAGTGTAATAGCACCCCAGTATGCTATATTTGTCAGATTACTATCAGTAATTTGTAAGTTATTTTCAATTCTATTCTGTTGTGATCATTTTAGTAATTATAATTCTGATTTCAGTTATTTATTTTTGCTGGACGGTTATACACCACCTTTATAATTTAATCTGTTTATTGATTTATTTTGTATAGCTATATATATTTGTTAGACGGTTATACATCGCCTTTATAATTTAATCAGTTTTAGAAGTACAAAGTGAGAAATAATGAATAGAATGTTAGAACAGAATCAACAGAAACAAGGTAAGCTAGAGAAAAGTAACAGAATAGATATTCAATCAACCACCAAATGGCTTTGATACCAAAGCTATTAAAGTAATCCTCCTCCATGGACTTCTGATCATACTCGCATAATCAAATCTATCAAACAGTAAGTTAAGACATTGCCTTTTTTTAGCATTCCCACTAGTGATTCTTTTAAAATCATCGAAACAGATGCCTCTGACATTGGATATGGTGGCATCCTTAAACAACGAGTCAGTCCAAATGCACGTGAACAATTAGTTCAATTCCATTATGGTGTTTGGACAAAAGCATAGAATAATTATAGTACTATTAAAAAAGAAATTTTATCTATTGTTTTGTGTATTAGTAAGTTTCAAGATGATATTTTAAATCAAAAGTTTTTAGCCAGAGTTGATTGTCAAAGTACAAAATATGTTTTAGAAAAAGATGTTCAAAATATTGCTTCCAAACAAATTTTTGCCCGGTGGAAAGCTATATTAAGTATATTTGATTTTGATATAGAATATCTCAAATGTAGTAACAATTCCATTCTAAATTTTCTTACAAGGGAATTCTTGTAGAAATCTGATGGCAGACCGGCAGCCTCCCCTAAGGCCCCAACTAGTTAAACCTTTTGATATTTGCTCAGGCAAAGCTCCAGTTACCAGATCCCAGTCACAATCCTCTTCAGCATTAGCAGTTACCAACAGATTCCAACCTCTTGCTTCCCCATCAACTTTCAAGTCAGCTCTAGTTAATCCAACACCAGATCTTTTCCAAGTCCAACCCCGAATTCACACCCAGTCCCAGATCCAACAATTCGCTGCTAAAAAACCACAAAGTCCATACATTGAAAAACCCCCTACTTCCTTGTTTTACATTGAGCCACACCTTACTCACATTAAAGACCCACTTGAATTGGCCCGCTCCTATTTTCCAAGTAACCTTCACTATGCCCCAGGCCATCCTTCTAAAACTCTTAGGTTTTACAGAGATATCCTGTACCATACTGACTCCATCACAGTCAAGACAACTTATGATAAGAATGATTCTTCCAAAGTTATTTACCATTCCCTATACATTAAACGGATAATCTCAATGAATTAACTGGGCAGTCACCCTTACCTACCTCAACCCTTACCTGATCATAATATTCAGTTTACATATTATGATTATATGACAGCCTGGTCCTCTGTTCTCTTATACCAAAATGAGTCATTTACTCATTCATGGTTTATAAATTTTGACAATCATTTCAACAGTCAAATCCCTACCTGGTTTCTGAGATGGTGGACTCTTCATGGAGCTATTCCAGAAATCCTCCCCGGACTGGTCCTGTACAAGGGTCACGATACCAAGTCAAGCTTGAAGAGTTGTGAATTTAGGAGGTGGCCAAGTTTTACATTTATAGAAAGCCACTACTACCTTTCTCTATATAAAATATAGATAGGGCGAGTAGGGATCGTCCCAAGGGATTTGATGGTGTATCGAATTGTGAAACTTAGGTAATTAGGGTTAGTAGGTCGAGTGATCACACAATTAATTGGTTGGTTAATTAAGCTAAATTGAATTCAACTAAATAAAATAATATGAAATAAACAAGAGAGAGAGAGGTCTTGGGGTGTAGAGATCACCACCAAGCAATACTTTTCTATACTACTAACAAGTGATCAATTGAGGGTAATGGATGTGTTACAATATGATAAGGGTGTGTATGCATTAGGTTGATTCAATTGGCAAGGATGACAAATCAAGCAAGTATTGTCTAAATATCATGTGAAGAGCACAATATATCTAAACAATAGCGCATATATTGTCTAGACAACAAGGGGATAGCACAATAGATCAAAACAAGTCATTAATCCTTCATTACGCTCATAATCCATATACAACACAATATTAGAGGAATATGCCATTTGGACTCACAAGCATGGAACATCAAATATCAAGAGTAGATTGTCTTCCTATCTAACATTACACTACCACTACACTAAATCTACACTACTAGCATGAAAATAAAGCTATCTAGACTAGGGGAGAGGCACAAACCATCAAGAATAGGCATAAACCATCAAATGAACCAAAATAGCATTCATTAAGCATATCATCTTGATAATCTCTAGATCTATAGCATCAATACACATAGATATGCATCAAAAACACTAAATCTAGGGATAAGCACATGAATATCCTACTCTAGCATACATAGACATATGGATAGAATAGAATAGTCAATTGGAAGCATTAAACCATACAAACCATGAAATAATCAAGATTTATATATACATGAATATCAAGATGTATCATACAACACAAATCCCTCAATAATACACAAGATTAGAGTATAGAAAGCATGTTTGGGGCTAACTCTAGCCCCAAGAGGATGTCTAGCCACTCATGGTAGTGATGATCTAACCCTCAAGGGCTAACTCCATGGCTGCTCCTTATTGGTGAAGATCTCCTCCAATGGTACTCTAGCTTCCCTCCTTCCTCCTCTCCAAGAATAGCCTCCAAGATGATTTTCAATGTGTGACAAGAGACTCCTTCAAAAAGTGTATCATATTCCTTATATAGGTAGGTCAAATATACCCTATGATGAGCTGTGGTCATGCAAGGCATATTCTCCAATGATTGGATGAAAGACGGAATAAATGAGCTGGACTTTAACTTTTTCTCGCTGGAGGAAGTTCGATCGATCGAACCTTAACTTGGATCGATCAAAAAGGGGTTCGATCGATCGAACTGCATCTTGGATCGATCGAAGTGGTCTGACTCCTCCGGATAATGACAAGGCTGGGATATTTTCAAGATATTTATGGGGAAAAAGACAAAAGTGGTTGGTTGGCGTACAGCTATGGATAAGATCAATCATTTGAATAGGACAAAATAGGGTTCGATCGATCGAAGGTGATGTTCGATCGATCGAACTTGGAATTTCAGCAAAGGCCAAGGTTGGATCTATCGAGAAGTACTGTGATCGATCATAGATGTTTGATCGATCGAACTCTAAGTTGGATCGATCGAACTTTTCAGCTGCACAACTTGATTCCTTTTTGCTCCTTTCTTTCTCCACTTTGCTCTCTCCTTTGGTTTATCTCAGGATTGCTTCAATTAAGCTCTTATTTGGCTGAGTTAGCTCAATTTTGGGATTAGTGCCCGAAAATATAAATAACATGTAATAAGTCTAAAACGGCAAAGTAAGATAGATAAAGGTACTAGAATGCTTAAGCTTAACGGGTTTATATGCGCACTTTTCAGTGCTCATCATCCCCCTCTCTCTTGCAGATCAAGTCAAATACTTTCACACTGTTCATAAAGTTAATAAACATAGTTCTCAATTTCCAATCCTCTTGTTATTTTGCAGTAAATACAAAGTCCCATGGATATTTAAATGGCAATATGATATCAAAGACAACATAGTCATCCGTCGCCACTATGTTAAATGGTGGGATACTTTCAAATTTGATAGGATTATTGGATATGTCAATGATGACTATCCCAAACAATCATCCACCCAAGTTACTTCCCAAACATAAGTCACTCTTCAAACAAAGCAAGTCATTCAACAGAAATAGTCTTCCCCTATTGGTTTTACTATTTCCACCAAGTCACAAAAGCAAACTCCCAAGTCAGAACTAGAAGAACTCAAGAAGATGGCAGCCTCACTGACTGATCGTATCCAAGAACTATCTAAAGATGGAGAAGAAGCAGATGATGCCTCCTCTACTTGTGACGACCCTGGATTTTTTCACCCTAGTGTGTCCAGATATTTCATTTAGTGTAGGTATTTGTGCTAGGTATCTAGTTGATCCAAGAGAACAACACGTTCTTGTAGTCAAGTGCATTATTCTTTATGTCAATAGTTCATTGAATTATGGATTATGTTATTCTTCTAAATCTAACTCTGAGATTGCAGGCTATACTGATACTGATTGGGCTGGAAACAAGGATGATAGAAAGAGTACTTCAGGTGATTGTTTCTATGTTGGTACTAATCTTGTTTCATGGTACAGCAAGAAACAAAATTGTAAATCTTTATCATCTTGTGAGGTTGAATACATTGCTACTGGAAGTTGTTGTACACAATTGCTTTGAATGAAATAGATGCTTCTGGATTATAGAGTTGATCAATGTACTACTGCTATCTTTTTGTGATAATACTAGTGCAATTAATATTTCAAAGAATCCAGCTTTGCGTTCTAGGACTAAATAAATTGACATTCGACATCATTTTCTTAGGGAACTTGTTGAACAAAATGTTGTGTCTTTAAAAAAAGTGCATACTGATCAGAATTTGGCTGATATTCTCACTAAGCCATTAGATGCTCCTAAGTTTTCTCATTTTAAGAAATCTATAGGTGTTTGTTGTCTTGATTAGATGCATTGCAAAGACATAGTCTATAAAGAATTTTCATACATATCTTGAGTGTCTAGATTATGTTTTTTTGGGAAATTAAACAAATCATATTGATTATGTTAAACAGAAGGAGTTTAATGACACATGGATTATATGTGTAAAACATACTATGACTATTAATTGATGAAATTGGTTTTGCTTACTTATTTCGTATAGTAAATGAATCATTGATAGTACATTTACTTGTATTTGATGTTTTCGTTTTGGTCAAAGATAATGTTTATATGATTGATCATTGTCTAAACTTGTTTTATGTGTTTTAGATCAAAAGAGTAAAAATAAAAGAAAATTGAAAAATAGCTTGGAATGAAAAGTTAAAAAAAAAAAAAAAAAAAAAAAGAAAAAAAAAAAAAGAATGAAAAAATTGTTGTTTTGAAAGAAAAAGGTGAGATGGAAAATGCTACCTTTGGGAATTGTCCGAAGCTACTTTGACTCGAAATAAATGGGAATAAGGGAAAGAGCTGGCTGCCCATAAGCGCGGTGCAAAAAGAAAAATGAATCACAAAGAGAAAAATAAAAAATGTCTTTTGCACATGTTGATTGTTTAATTTCTAAGGATATGTTATATCATTGATTTATTATCTAAAATCTGAATAGTTGACAGAACATATGTTTTTGGAACTTGGTGATGATTTTACTACACGTACTAAGTTTGTGGTGGAACTTTATTGAATTGATCTTGGTTCTTTGTATTGAAACATATAATCTTGTGGAGTCTACATTCTCATTGGTTTTAATTTACAAGATTTATATGGTTGGTTGCTTCCTACTTCTAGGATATTTCTTCCTTAAGACCCTTGTTAATTTGTGACAAAAAGGGGAGAGAGTTTAAAGTCTTATCATTCAATAGGAGATATACTTTTGCATTAAGGGGGATAACTTTTTGCATTGAGGGCCAGAACCATTATTCATTGCATTGATATTCAGGCATTATTAGCATGCCTATTTTATGCTTGTGTTTATTTTCTTGATTAAGCTTCACGGGTAGTTATGTTTGAGCTAATGTGCAAATTACAGGTTGTTACAAGTGTTAAAGCTTCATGAGGTTTAAGAAAATTTCCGCGGTTTTATTTCCTTTAACAATCATTATAATTTACTTTCCTGCTTGGGTAGATTGCTAAATTATTTTTAGGGTTTTGTCACGAAATTGCCAAAGGGAGAGGTTGTGAGATATATTTTATAATTGGCTAATTTCGTTGTCAAAACAAGTTTGATCGAGTTGTAATTTTTCAGTTCAAAATTTCAAAGATTGAAGATCGGATGCGGATTTGAAGAAGTTCAAGTGTTCATGGTATACTACACTTTGGGATGATGAGAACAATGTTTTAGAAAGGTATGTGAGTGAGTGAGAACACTTAGGAAGTTTCAGAAGTTTGACGTGTTAAGGAAATTTACATTCTGTCCTTTTGGTATTGATAGCCAAAATCTAGTACTGGTAGGAAATTTACTTTTGTCCTTTTGGTACTGGTAGCCAAAATCTAGTATTGGTAAGAAAATAGCAGATTCACTTTTGTCCATTTGGAACCGGTAGCCAAAGTACGTCGGAATAGATTCTGTTCATCCTGAACCGGTAGCCAAATCCAGGTACCGGTTCAAGAAGTCCTGATCAGTATAGAACTTCAATTTCCTTATCCGTTTTAATTCCTTTTTGGACCAAACTTCCTTCCAAGTCCTATACACGAAATTTTCTATATTTTCAGAGGGATTAGGACTTTTTAAACTCTATATAAACCTTGTTAGTCTTCTAAGCTTATTCATGGCTTTAAGGAGCATTAATTCTATATTTTGAGAAAGCCTTTAGAGAGAGAAGATTCAGAAAATCAAATCTGATTATTTTGAATGAATTTTTGAGAGCAAACACATATATTCATGAGTGATTTAGTAGTGTTGTTCTCTATCTCATCGAAATTGGAGCTATATTGAAGATTCAGATATTCTAAATGAAAAACAGGATTTAATTCTTCTACATCGAGTTCAGATCTTGAAGAACAAAAGTAAAGGTCAAGTTACTACTGTTGGACGGTACGTCGCAAAGCTAGAGGATTGTCAGCAATTGGTGTTTGGTAAAACGATAGGGTGTGAGCAAGAGTCAAAGTTCAGTGTACTTTGTTTCAAACATAGTGGATCGGTTTACTTTGGACTGAACGAGGTTTTTTCCATGCAAACAGTTGACGTATTTTATCAACTGGGGTTTCCTCACTAAAAATCTTGGTGCAATCTCTCTAACCTTAACTTGCTTTACTTTTCAGTATTTATATTTATGATTATGGATGATTAATTGATCAGATAATTTAATCAATCATAAATTGAACAAGTTGACCTAATAATCAGATCTAGGTCATTAAAGGAGTTAATCACAATTAAAATCAACTAATAGTTTCCACACCCCGCGCTAACACTGTTTTCACATAGAATTATAACAGCATATATATAGAGACTGAAGCTCAAATCCTTTTTCAATAAGGAATTGCTATCATCCAATCATTACATAAAGGAATATTCTGACATTCCTCTGCTGAAAAGGCAGATATATCCGTGCCAATTCAGCAGCTTTGTCTTCTAATGCACATGCATTTCAGAGCTTGTAGTAGCATACATATCAATATACTATATAAAGCTTGAAAGCTAACAAATGCCACACAAGGCTCAGTTTCTCACTCAAGGACCACTGGATACATGTTAGCTAAATAGTCATCATGGAGAAAAGACCAGAATACCCCTAAACTTGACACTTGTCTCACTATACATAAAACTGATGTTGTGACTGAGAACACTAGAACATTTTAGATTCTATGCATGACACCTCAATGTAGTATCCCATATAAGTGAGAAATGACATAAGACATATATAAAAAGACTTAAATACCAATGTCACATGCAGATCGAGAGCCAAAAAAACACAATTTCTATAAATGTGGACAGATTGAAACAATGAACATCCCTTAAACATAATTTGATAGATTTGTTTAGCTAGTAAAAGGAAAACACTACCCTTGTATATTGATGCACATTGAGAGTGCCCCAACAGAGATTATTTATCACATTGGAAGCTCAAAAAGCATAAAATTGACATTAAAAGGTCAAACATTGAGAACACAGGGACCAACAAAATATAACGTTAATGGGTGGCTTATTCTGACAATGATGTCATTTTTGGATAAAAAAAATATTCGATTTAAAACTCAAATTAAAGCTATACTATACTTTGTAAGAAAAAATTAGAAATATCACATTACCAAAAATTATACCCGCTTTTGCCACTTTAAAAGTTGAAGAGTTCTATTTTAATATTGTCATTTAATCCTACACTACGTATAATTCATAAATCTTGGATGATTTTTGAATAAATATAATATGGAGAGATACTCTAGTTTTAATCCACTAATCATAGTCAACTGGAAAAACAATAATTTTTTTTTTATTATCTTATCGTTCAAACGACAGGATTACAAAACAGGATCTAATCATGCGGAATGTAACATACTAGAACTTTAGTGAGTTTTCCTCACAAAAATCACAAAATTTGGTTAGAGACTTGTATGACACTCATCACATATATAACAAATTATGAGGCAAATATCTTCAAATTGTTAGGACTAATAAGAAAAATGATAATATATCCAATTATAAAAGGAGAGATTATCACATAAATATATATATATGTGATAAATAAAATCCAAAATAATATAGTTAATGAAATTAAACATAATTTCAAATATATACTTAGAGCATGTAATCACGAAGATAATTGAAGTATAACCAAATTTATACTTTAATCTTCGTCCAATCATATTTTGCATAACTAAATTTAATTTGAGAGAATATAAGTTTAAAATGTTATCAATTTAGTATGCCTACAATTTGTCCCTATTTTATGTCAATAATAAAATTTAAGTTGAGAAATTATAAATTGAAGCTGTTTTAAGGTGGAATTAAGGTGGTTTAAATGCTGTGTAATTAATTCAGAAATCCAACTATTGGGTTACAACTAGTCCACTAGTCATCTTACCTTGTTGGACGGTCCAGATTACTTTATCACGTAATTGATTTGAATAACCCATCAGATCCAACGATGTAGATCTTGTAAGTTGTAACAACTTGAGCAATCAACTAATCTTATGAGATCGATTGGTTATGATTGTTTGATCTTTGTAACCCAACTAAAAATAGTGTCATTATTTCCTTAGATTTTTATCAACCGTTGGATATCATCCAACGACCCTTCCAAGTTACGTATCCAAGCTAAAAAGGGACTTTACAAAGGCGTGTTGAGTTAATATAGTCAAGTTAAAATTTAGGCATTTCCTACTAAGCGAGTGTCGCTCGCCCCTTTATATTAACAAATTTTAGGACACAGGAAGGAAGTGGTGGATGGTATCCCTCCACATGCATAGATGCGGCTACCGACCTTGATTTTGACTCTTTTGTAGCATTGCTTAACTTGATGGATAACCTTTTGTAATTGATGTCTTATTTTTGTAACTAGATGTAAAAGCAATGTAATTTGTGACCATGATTATATTAGTTTTGTAACCATATTCTTTTGGACTTGAGGTTACATTCTTTTGAACATGAATCATGTAACATAATTATCCATGTATTATTTAATGGGATGAAATGATCTATTTTGATGTTAAATGTTAGCATATCATAGTCCTTTTCGTTGATTATTTAGTTT